TGTTGTTTAACCGACTCACTGGTGATGAGCACTGGTGATGAGCATCCTCTGCTGTTTCCTTCGGCAGATTCTTGTAGAATTTTTCGGCTTCTTGAGGTGTTGAGAAGAGGTGGCTCTTTCCACCGTACAGGATCCTGAGTCTGCATGGGTTGTGCTGGAATCCACGGAAGGCATTGATATCAATAAACAGTTTGACAACCAGGTGAAATCCCCTTCGGATCCGAACCGTCTCCGCAGACAGATCCTGTGCAAATGTGATCTTGGCCCCATCATGTGTAATTTGTTGTTTTCTTGCTTCCCGATATACCAGTTCCTTCTCTTGGAATTTTAAGAAACGAATAAGCACCGCTCTGCTCTGGTTTGGTTTCCCGGAGGCAAGCGTGCGATGCACTCGTTCCAGTGTGAATGACTTGTCGGCCGCTAGCCCCAGCCACTTAGGTAGCATGATGTTAATAAAGTCGAAGAGTGGTTGTTGCCCCTCTGCTCCCTCTTTTATGCCGAAGATGCGCAGGTTCTTTCGTCGTCCGCGGTTTTCCAAATCATCTGTTTTGGCTTCAAGAAGTGCGATTCGTTTGATAGCCGAGTTCAGTGACGTTTCTGTTTTCTCAAGTGTGCTTTCAACTTCGGCAATGCGGGCTTCGGCCTCTTCGATATGAGCCCCCTGGTTCAATATGTCTTGCTTTACCTCCGAGACTTTACCCTCCAGTGCAGTCACTGCGCTCGCCATCCCAGTCAGTCTTATATCGATGCTGTCCAACTTGGCTCCAAAATCCGACCGGAGTGATTTGAGTTCATCCAAAACCTCGGCTATGCTAGCCATGTTAGCATCTGTGTCGGACGTTGATGGTATAGCGCCTGTCTTGCGTCTTCGGGTAAAGATGTCACACTGTTTCACAGATGAAGCTTTTGACATGTCAGTGCCGTATATTCCAGACCACACTAACAGCATATACAAGGGTTTTTTATAGAAAGTTTGTACACTGTCCTGAGAGCGACCCCGCTAAGCTGCCATCTTAATGCTTGGCCACGTGAACCCCGGGCTTTTCTCTCTTTTTTATTGTAGGGCCTTTACCTTACACTACAAAGCACGTTGAGGCAACTGTTGCCGTGATTTGGCACTATATAAATAAAATTGAACAGAATTATTTAACACAGAAAACTATAGTCAGATTGTGATCTGCAATGCAATTCCATCTGGAAAGTGTCGGATTGGCAGTGGCTTTGTTGTTCAGAATGACAGTGCCCACAAACATGCTGCTAACATAGTAAAAGCATACCTAAATACAAAAACACATAGTGAGACACTATCAGTCGGTGTATCTTTCTACTGTACAATATAAAGCGTCTTGAGGCGACTGTTGTTGTGATTTGGCACTATATAAATAAAATTGAATTGAATTGAACTGAATTGGCTTCTCCAGAGCCAGGACCTCAAAATTACTGAAGCAGTGTGGAAACAAACAGAACAAAAGGCAGAAGAAGAAGAACCGCTTCCTTCAAGAAACCTGGAGAAATCTTCCCGAAGACTACTTAAAGAAATTACAAGAAAGCTGCCTAAAAGAGTTCAGGCTGTATTGAAGAACAAAGGTGATCATGACAAATATTGACTTTCAAGCGTGTTAGAAGATTACACACTCTGTTCTTTCTGTTCTTTTCTTATATACTGTATTTCCATGTATGTTTGCATGTGTTTCAATAATCTCTGAACATATTTCCCATTTTCCTAGTAAAATATGAAGAAAAGAGGTGTGGCTCAAGACTTTTGCACATCACTGTAAATAGTAACCTTCTTTTTTTCTCATTGGACAAATGTAACGCATTGGTAAGCGTTGCTTTTCAGATTCAAGTAGAAATATGTTTTGATCAAGAAATTCATCATTATTAATTAACAGGGTTGTTTTGTATGTAAAAACAAGGTTATAGAATTCCCAGTTGAGAAACAAGTCACCTGCAGTGTAACCACATTTGTACTGTCTAAGAGGCAAAGGGTGTGTTTACTCATTCAAACAGCAAAAGTGGCTTTATGGACTGTCTGTGTTTGCTGTGTAAACAGTTGTCTTTTTCTCCTGGCATGCTGTCATTTTCACATCATACATTAGCAACTGGGATAGATCTGAATCTAACTCTTACACATCTCAGTAGAAATAATATTTAAAAATATTAAATGATCTATATTTTAATTTTTGCAATTTCAAAAAGAGCAATAATGGAAAGAATCTGCATCCTGATTTTTACATTATCAATCCAGTGGAATAAAATCACAGTCACAGCCCAGTACAGCTGCGCTGTAACAATTTATAAGCACAGTTTTTATATCAAGAACATTAAAAGATTATAAATAATAAACATTTTTCATGTTTTGTAACCACCACAGAGCAAATGTCCAAAAGATCAATTATCAGACTCCATGACTTGTACCATGATATGCTTTCCTGCCAAAATCTGCCAACTCCCCCTGTACAATCAACAGTGATGCTGATGTTACACCATCCAAAATGGACTATAATCAGTGTCTGCGTGTAACCTGGCACTAAAATCGTGTTAGATGATAGCGGTTGTTTATTTAAATTTCTGTTACTGGACTAAAAGGTCGCTTTCATCTGTATTAACAGAAGATCGAAGAATTCCTGGCTAAACTGAGTTGTTGGTCTCTGTGAAAGAAACATTAGCAAAAAACGAGGGGACAACCAAACAGACTAATTATTGTGTTTTGTATCACAAAGCCCAAGTCCATGTTACCTTCATGTGATGCTGTTCCATCTATATTTAATGCTAGGTATACCATGTTGGTGTCGCAATGCTTTTGATGCAGTCTCATCTATCTCCTGCGTAAGACCTTTATTAGACCGGCTTATTTTTCTGCACAGACTCTGTTATAGTTTTCTTTCAATCCTTAGTGTATAAAGTATGCACATTTTGACAGTTCAGGAGTTTGAACTACAATGTGTGTGAGAGATAAGATTTTTGCAGGTGAATGAGAACATAAAGGAACACAGATAAGAAGTATAGCGTAGGGTGTGGGGTGCATTTGTCCCGAACAGGTTTTGTATCACATTACAGTAAACAGTTAAATTTGTGAATAGATGCAAATTTAAATGAGATTCTATTAACTATTACTGCCTCGAGTCAGCGATGGACAGTGAACTAAAATAAACTGATAAATATTGTGTGAAATTAATGTTAGTACTACATGGTACTTAAAATCCTGATTGTCAACAAAGCAAAAGTAAGTAGCGCAACAGAAGCTAATTGCTTATAGTCAACGTGAGCTGCAGAGCAGACTACCTGATACGATGCACACTAGTCAGGTGCCACCACCTTCGAGGTGCACATTTAAATATCTGATGGCTAATGAACTGAAGAAGAAAAATCGTACAGCTCTCAATGAAGTAAGCAACTATTGTGTCACCTGCTAAATTTTGCAATAAAAACCAATCGGTATTAGCTACTAAAACATTTTTTAGAAGTAAGACGTATGATGTACAGTTTTTCTTGATTGACTTGACTGCTGCATGACAGCAAACTCCACATTTTCCAAACAGTTAACACACAGACCTAAACAGAGGCTCTCGTTGTCAAAGTGGCACGTTTTGTTTGCATAAGGCTGAAATATGAAACAAAAGGAAATGTTGCCTCCAAATAAAATAGCTTGCAAACATGTGTATGAGCTCTTCCAGTCAGTCATTACACAATGGACAGCAAAATACAAAACACAGCACTCAGTGCAAATCAGTGCACCATTGCTTGTCAACGTAGCCCATTACATAGCCTCCGTGTTATCTTTCCACATGTGTTATCTTTCCACATGTGTCAAATTTGGCTTCTTGCAATGAGTTGGACTGAAATAAATAAATGTGTGCTTTCTGTTTGGTTACCATAGCTAAAACAGTGGGGGTTGGACTGCTTGAATGACATCTGTGTCAATCCATTGAGAAAAGGTTAACACTTTTCCAAAAGGTGTCTTCTGCTCTGATGAGATAGTGATGATAAAAACTGAGTGGATCCCAGTTTCCTTAGGCAGGTGAAAGCAATCAAGAAAAACTGTAATATGGATGGGCAGCAGTAAATTGACACCATAGATTTCCACAGTAGTACAACCATCTGGTTAAGACTGGAAGTCCCCTTCATGCAGATATATAACACCATATAACACCCCCCGGACCTCTAGGGCAGGGGTGGGCAATCTCAGTCCACGAGGGCCGGTGTCCCTGCAGGTTTTAGATGTGTCCTTGAACCAACACAGCTGATTTAAATGGCTAAATTAGCTCCTCAACATGTCCTGAAGTTCTCCAGAGGCCTGGTAACGAACTAATCATGTGATTCAGGTGTGTTGACCCAAGGTGAGATCTAAAACCTGCAGGGACACCGGCCCTCGTGGACTGAGATTGCCCACCCCTGCTCTAGGGGGTGTCATGTGATGCACTGCAAAAGAGCTGAAGTCCCGTGGCTTAAGTGCGGGGCCTACATAGATTGGACTTGTTTCGGCCCATCCCATCAATGCATGATTAGTCAGGAATCTCAGGTATTTAGAAGTTGGATTAATGCCCTCACCTCTGTAATGTCTTCTTTAAGCATTTAATAGCAGTGTTTAGAGAGAGGCGAGATGTATTGTCTTGGTGGGAAAGGCGTCAAAGCAAGGCGTTGCAATGAGAGGGTGTGCTTGGTCTGCACAATGTTTAGTTGCATGCTACATTTCAAAGAAAATATCAACATGAAGACCAACCCTAGCATAACACTTTAATGAGATGTTGAGAATTAGATACTGGTTTCTGCAGGTGTTGTCTGAATTTTATGAGCCTGGTTTGAATTGCAGAAAACTTTTTGTTTAGTTTTTTTCACAGTCTTGAAGTTTAAAATTAAAGGACTAAGGATGACACTTGCAAAGATATGCAGTTAGTGGGGTTAGGTTAATTGGTCATTCTAAATTGCCCATACGTGTGAATGTGGGAGTGAATCTGATGGTTGTCTGTCTCTAAGTGTTGGCCCTGCGACAGACTGGCGACCGGTCCAGGGTGTACCCACCTCTCGTCCTATGGTAGCTGGGATAAGCTCCAGCGCCCACGCGACCCTGTAAAGGATAGGTGGAAGAGAATGGATGGATAGATGGTAAAAAAATGCACTTTGCAAGCAGAGAGCTCTTCTTTCCTGTAACAAGAAAAGAGGCCTCTTGCCTGTGTTTGAAGAAGAACATAGATAACGCCTTAGTCTGTGGCTGCACGTGTGATGGTTTTAGAGGATAACCATGAGGACAGTTTGATGTTAACATGTGAGGTGAGCAGGTGAGTACTCTCTAACACCAGGAAGTGGCTGCATTAGCACTGCTCATGGAAAACAAAGATTTGACCTACTCTGGGAAAAGCAAAAGCCTACTGACTCACTGATACACTGACACGCTGACCCACAGACCCACTGTTTGCTGTTTGCCACTAAGTCCCTAATCCTTTACTCCACTCACAATCCCGAAAATCCTCTAGGGAGGGTTAAGGTGTCCGTCAGACTTGTTCCCCCCCACCCCCCGCAGTGTCATGACAGGACAAGACGGTAAGAAACTCTCCCACACACTGTCCTTTCTCCCAGCAGACTTTCAGGCAAACAGTAAACAACACTCAGACATCTACTCACAGTAATGATCGCACCATATACTAACTATGCTTTGACACACTGTTTTACTGTCCATTCTAAGATTCTTGAAGGAAAGTGTCTGATTTATTTGACCTGACTTGTCAAATCAAATCTTTAAAGAGGTCAGATTTAATTTTGCAATATGACACTGGCCGGCTGACTAACAGTGCAATTTATTATTTCAGGTATTTCATTCTTTTGTACATGTGCGTACATGTCTTGGTAATTGCTGATACTTATTAAACAGCAATATCAAAACTTGACTTAAACATAAAAGTGAGCATTAACATGTCCAATGGGTATACAAGCTGTAAAAGGACAGAGTACAAAAACATCTTATTACTTGTTAAATCTGTTTTGTTGCCATTTAAACTTTTACATTTTTGGATATCCAGTTCAACTGAAGTTATATCTTGATAGTCATTTTAGATGGGCCTGTATCTTCTGTGTTGCCTGCGTACTTCAATGTACAAGTACAATGTACAGAGCACTCAAATAACTCCTAAATCCACAGGATGATCCCATTACATCAGGCCTAGTTACCTCTTTTATCTCTATGTGTTACATCAGTGTGTTACATTACTTTGACTTGTTGGGCACAGTGAAAGAGGTCATTCGACAAAAGTTTTCTCTGAATAAATTAAATTAAAAAATTAAAGATCATTTAATCGATCTATTATAAATGGGATGGCCATTTATAATAGATAAAAAGAAGCAGAAATGCTGTCACATTAATAGGTCACATAAAAAGACTGTAGCTGTTCAAAAGTCTTGGACCAATTTAGTATTTCGGTGGTGTTTGGAACGTCACTGTTTTTTGTTTTTCTTCTTCTTTTTAGCGGGGTCATACTAACTTAGAGAAAGTAATGGGTCACACACTGGATTATCTTTTCTAAAAGTCATTAGAGGTTAGAGTGCAGAAGAGATCCACCTGAAATTTTAAATAAACATTTAAGTTAGCCTACATCATGCATCAGCTGTCTTATTTGCACCACTCCATATGACACATAACAATGCAGCAATACAGACTCACTACATTTCATTATCTTAACTGCCTATCAGGGTTGCTTTCAGACGGGTACTGGTGAGCTGGAGCCTACCCCAGCTGTTACAGGGCAAGAGCTGGGATGAAGGGACTATGGGATAGACTCAAAATATTTATACCTGAAAATGCTAACTTAAGTATTTTAATTACATGTAAATTTAAACATAATTTTGTTTCATAAGTACAATGTAAA